AAGGAAGGATTCATTAAAAGCAAGCTGTATTTCTTTTTCAAAATTCATTCGTCTCGATAAATCTACAGAATATTTTGTAAATAGTTTAGTGAGATGTCGTCGGAGAGGTACCATTTCTTTTGTGACCAATTGTGCTAAAGTAAAAGACGATTTTGTTAAAATATGTAGTTGACACGGTGGTACATAAGTTGGGCCACGATTAAGAAATTTTATTTGTTCGAATGTTAGATTATGTACGGCATTTTGAATCATAGTTGGCGAACAAAATATATTTGATTTGTATGTAGTAGAAGCGCTCCGATGGTGAACCAAATCTAATTCTTGACCATCGGAGCTACGTCGAAATAATGTAGTTTCACTTTATAAAGATGAATAATATGTTCATTGATATTTTTAAAGCGTTTTTCCATAATAGATATCATATTTTTAGTTAATCGCTTATTATCTGGACCTGAATGTTGTCTATCTTGCATATCAACCAGAAGTTTATTGAATTTTTCTTGAGTTTCATTCATTTTCGTTTCAGCTGCAGCAATATATACTAACATCATATCAGATTTTGTTTTTTGTAAAATTTTTTGACATTTTTCATATAAACGTTGTCGAATTCTCGGATCATTAATAGTATTCAATGATATGGATGTAGGTATATCAAGTGATTGAAATGATTTTGGTAAATGATTATGAATAACAGATTGTTTTAATATTGCCACTTCAAGTTTCGCCATTTCTTTATCATGTCTTGCTGTTCTAAGATTTTCGAATACTTCTTTCTGATAATTATTAGGTTGTTCATTATAAAATTCTAATTGAATTAAATGATCCTTATAATTATGTTCGACAGTAGCTATTTCGTTTTCAATAATTATTTTATGTAAAGAAACACCATAACGTAATACAAATTTTATAACAACTTCTTCCATTTCGCTTGTGAATATATTTATAAAACGTTCTTTTATTTGTTTTAATTGAGCTTGATAATTGACGATTTGCTGGTCATATTTTTTTAAAACTTCTTCAACATATTTGAGGCAAGCATTATGATCATCAGATTTCATTTTCGATTTAACTTGTTCAGGCCAGAAAAAAACTTTTGAAGTGAGATTAAACTCACTCGATGTTGTCGCTGTAGTAATTTGTTTCGAAGATTTAGATGACTCTTGCTTTGTCATTTTACCTGTACCCGATAATAAAAATGCTGTCCATAGAGATTTATCATGTTCAGCAACTTCAATGTTATGTATAAGATGTGCAATATGCCGTAAATCTTCCATAGTAATAGAAGAATGAGGTATGTTTCGAAGAACATTAGCCATGTTTTTTTCAAAATCTTCATTCGCCGATGAAAGATATCGGGGTAAAGTACAATTGGATTGCTCTTTATCATCACTTGTTTTTAGCTTTTTAATTGTTTGTACCGCTTGTGAAGTAGTTGTTGGTGTTAACACAGGACGCTTTCTACTTTTTGATTCATTCGATTGTTCCTGATGTGTCGTTATCTTTGCTTCATTGGAAGCTGAAAGTTGACTAAGTTTTTGAGACAAAGCATCCTCTTCTGCTGTAAGATCTACTACAATTACAGTTGAGGCATTATCAAGTACCTCTCCAACTGGAATTATGTGCTCGATGCCATCATTGTCGTTATGTTCATCTACTTCTTCTTCAATAATTCTTTGTTGAAGATTATCAAAATCAATATTTTTGTCTTCATCTTCATCTATGTCGTCACCATATTTATGAAAGATATCATCAAATCGATCGACATCTGCTTCGAACTATATTACAAAAAAAAACATGTTATTTTAGAAAATCCTTCCAAAATGTTTAAAATACTACATACATAATCGCCTGAGTGAGTCATTTCAGCTTTTTTTTCAATACTGAAAGAGAGAATCTAAAGAAGTATAGAAATCTGAAATAAGTAATGGAAAATTGTATAAAATTGAATAATAAAAGAACAGTTTTCTTAAATAAAAAACCGATACAATTCACAGTATGGAAAAGAATCTCTAATTTATGGAAAAAGTTATTTTTTTTCATAGATTGCTATAGTGTCATTTCGTGACTTGAATTTTTCGAGATGTACATTTACTTCATTCGATGGTTCAATGGCACTTCTTGTCTGTTCGATGGTTCGAGAAAGCGTGAAGTTTTAATTTGTAGACAGATAAAAGGCGCTCACTAATATTGTTGAAACGTTTTATCATAATATCGAACATATCTTTAGTTAATATTTTATATGATGGATGTGTTGATACATTTTCTTTTAATTTATTCATTGCATCATTAAACTGGAATCGAGATTGATCTGCTCGAATTTGAGCAGCGTCAATATAAACTTGTATTAAATCAGTTTTGGTTCGCTGTAAAATTTTATCACATCGACTTTTTAGTAATGAAACTGTCTGGGTATCCATGATTGTATCTATTGACGTAGGTTTCGATATTTCGAGTTTATCAAACGATTTCGGTAGATGATGAAGAGTGACACGTTGTTTTAATAGAGCAAGTTCTAGTTTTGATTTCTCCATAACAAATTTCTTTTCTGTAAGAGATTCGAATAATTGTTTCTAAATAGAGGAAAAATAGGAAATTGAAAGTATTCTACAGTTCTAAACCTCACTTGGTATAGATTTGGATTTTGACTACAAAATTCAAGTTCACATAATCGATCAAACATATCATATTCAATGCGGATAATTTCTCTTTCAATAGGTATTCGATATAGAGCAATCGCATATTCCTGAACAAATTTCATAATAACTTCTTCAATTCTACTTGTCCAACGGTTGCGTAAGTGTTTCTTTTTCTCTTCCAATTGATTTTGGTGGTCGTCCGTTTGGATTCTATATTTGTCTAAAATCTTCTCCGTATATTTTATACATTCATCGTGATAGATTTCGTTGGGATGTGTGGCTTTCGTTTCATTTTCTGCAATCATTCTTAATTTTAGGTCCGAAGGCCACAATAGTAGCGATGGTTCTTTATTTTCTACTAATGTACCCTGACCAGAACGTAAATATGTTGTATAAAGACGTTTTTGTAATTCAATACGTTGAAGTTGATCAATGAGAAATGCAATCGCTCGTAATTCTTCGGTATAAATAGAAGTGCCAGTGTGTCGACGAAGATCGAGGATCATCTGATCGAATTCTTTACTTTCATATGATAAATATTTGGGTATCATTTGAGTGGAGGTGATATTTTCTGTTTTGGCTCGATTTGTCGCGTTCCATTGAGCAGAGCTTTCATATTCTTTCTGTGACGCCGCTAAGTCACTTAATTTTATAGATAAATATTGTTGTTTTTCTTGTTCGTTATCGGTTACACCAACTAAATTCTGATCTAACTGTAGACATTCTTCCAAATCAAATAAATCATCGTCATATTCTTTTACGAATTGCCTATGTCTCTTATTGAATTGAATACTTGTCTCTTCATCAACATTAAAATCATCATGAAATTCTGCAAAAATATCTTCAATCTAAAATAGACATAACACGTATGTATACTGTAAATTCAATATCATCCCTCTTACATTTTCTTGTGCTCGCCACATTCTCTGATAAATATACAGAGAAAAATAGCTTTACAATGATGAAAATATCTAGAAATATGAACGCAAACAGAAATGATTATGTTTTCGTGCCCTTGAAACTAATGTTTGACACATAAATATGAAGAGTATAAATGAGATAGAAATACAAGAAGAAGTTGGAAACCAATGCAATGCATGTGATGCTTACAACATCTTATCTTAAAATAATGATAGTTTGATTAAGTTTATTTGAATCTATAAACTAATGCTACAATTAAAATTGTCATACACTGAGAAAACAGAAAAATACTAAGCCAAAACTAAAGCACAATAATATAAATTTTTTGAACAAAGAAAAGTAAACTGGAATAGAATAAAGATATAGCTAATTCTAAACAACTACTAGTTTGCTTTTGCGGAAAACAAAAACAAATGAGAAGAATTATATTGAACGCTGTTGTTGGAAGATAGATTAAATTGATCGACGTACTAAATTTGCACACCAAACATCTTGTCTTATGTTTGTATTCATATTTAGATCAAAAATATGGCCTAATGTATTTAATTTAGCTTCAGTATGTGTAACAAATAAAGAGTGAATAATTTGACGAAATAGATCCGATGTATTGGGGGGTAAAACAGCAATAATTGTTGCATTATAAAGAGGTACCTTATCAAAGAGTTTGGTACCAGGAAAGTTCTTTCGAAAGAAATGAATTTGTTTTTCTATTTGACGTTTTGAAAATCGATAGCCTTCAGGTGGATTTGGTAAATCATTGAGATATTTTTTTATATTTTCATCTTGATAAATATTTGATATTGTTGTTGTTGTCAAACGCATTCTTTCATAGCGAACATTGTCGGTATCAACAACTTCGTTTTTCATTGGAACGAATGGCCAAAAATGTGGATTCCCATCTAAAAAGGCTTGCATTGTAGCTGAACATTGTTTTGGATGTTGATATAAGAGCATATTTTCTTTATTCGATGTGAAACCATAATCTTTATACATTGGAAGGCGTTTGGTGTTCTTTTCGCCAAGTAATAATTTACAAATAATAAGATTTGCTATATGATAATGATTTTCTAAACGTTTTGCTAATGTATAGGATGTTTCACTAATATAATCATATTGACCACATAAACATGTTAATACATAAATAATATTTCTTGTATTACATGTTACTGGACAATTTAATATCGATTCATAACCATTCACAAAGCGATGTGTTTCAGCACGATTAAATAAAACTGGTGTTGGTCGACGACAAGTCAAATCAATTGGTGTTTGACATAATTTACATTGTCCACAAGCTGTCATTTTATAACGACATTCAGGTATTGTTGCACAAAATATACCTTCTGTATTTGATCTTGGTTGTGCATTCCGAAATGAACAAGTTTTCATATAGAAAAGATCGACATCCATTTGTAAATAAAATTCCAATAATTGAGGGAATTCATGATCATGTAAATAGAAAGTATCTTCCATACGTTTATTAGCATGAAGTATTTGAACACGACGTGTACTAAATAATTCAAGAAAATGTTGTAAACGAGCATAATTATGATCTAATATAGATATATCGACATGAAAACGATCGCAGATTGTTAAAAAGTAATTCTTATAATAGTTGTACATTAATGATGATGTTGATGTACTGGGATCGGCTATAGTAAATAGGCATTGATATTCACCTGTTTGACGGCATTCTAATTCTATTCGTGATAATTGATTTGGAGACACATTGGCCAATAGTAAATTCGATGAATTATCTGCATCGTTATTATTTCTACGTGGAAATGTTGGTAGAATGGAGAGACGATGTCGATTATAAAAATGAAGTGTATGTGGTAGATAATTTGGTTGATAACGACCAATAGGTGTTTTCATTGGTGTAACTAAGTCAATAATTTCCACTTGTGTTGCTGTTGTTGATGTAGTTCGTCGCTGTCGTCTTATTGATGGCCCTCTAGGTGACAATGATTCTTTCACCATGGGTAATTCAATGGTTGTAGCTGCCAGACGACGTGTTGCTGTTGTCGTTTCTTCAGTACGTTGTTCCTGTGCTGTTGGTGTGGAATACTGAGTGGTTTCCATTAAATCACCACTATCATTTCTTTTCTCAACATTTTCCTCATCATTATCATCCTCATCCGAACTGAATAGATGCGACATGTGTATGTCGAAATTCGGGAGATTTCTATTTTCATCCATTGTTAAAATATATATATACGTTCTATTACAAAAGTCGTTCCGTACAAACGTAATATCTAGAATATATGAGGAACAAAATTAAAAATCAATTCATCAAATATCACGTAGAATAGAATATTCTTTTATATTTAAAAAAAAAAAAGAGGAAAGGTAAATGAAATACATGGTACCTATTTTCGACGTCGACGAATGCAGAATGAAGAAATGTCGTGTAATGCGCAGCTATTTATAAGCACGAAACAAACACAGAGAGAGAGCGAGAGAGATAGAGTGACCGATGTAACATTTATTTTTCTCTTTTCTTTCTTGAATATGATTGACCAAAAAGAAAAAGAAAAAGAAAGAAAGAGAAGAAGTTTTTACAACACAAAGCAATAATGGGAGACAATGAGCATCAGTCAAACAAATATATATAGAAATAATTGAAGAAAAAAATTAAAAATTAAGATCAAAGTTAAAAAACGAAGTTTGAAAAGATGACAATTTTCTACAGACGAATAGATTGAGTTCGACCTTCCTTGATTTCATTCATTGGTATATCGAATCTTTCTTGGTTATTTTGTTCAATTTCTTCGTATTGTACGGATTCATTTCGTCGTTGTTGACTTGTGATTCGAGACAGATGATGTTGTAATAAACAGATAATTTGAAAAATTAACAAGATTAAAAATAATATTCCAGCAAGAGTAATAATGAGAACAGGATGAATTCTGATTGGACATTTCATTTCGGCTATTACAGGTACTGATACAGCTTCTATAGTGGTAGTATCAATGTTCTGCTTGAATTCATGATAAAATAGTGAATCAATATATTCTTTTAGAACAGTATACTCGTAGAGTGATGGACACCACAAATATTCTGGATCTGTAGCATTCATTGGAAGAAGAAAACATTGCTTGTTTGTTGTGTCTGTCATACTAATTGAAATTATTGATAAATTTAAGTGATGTTGGAATGTAAATCTGAAATCTAAGAGTATTATTGTTGAATAAATGAAAAAAAAATTGCTAAACGCTAACAATCTATGTTCTAATACTCATAACATAAACAAATAAGAAGAATGAGAGCAATGTGGTCATATGACATACACTACAGTAGAAAGGAGAAATTCTAGCAAACACAAAATGAGATACATAATGGAAATTAGAAAATTTCAAAGAACAAAAAACAAGACAAATGGACTTTTTATATAATTGAAATTGAAGTAAATCCACGATAAGAATTTGTGAAATCAAGGCATCGACGCGCTCTTTTGCGAAAGACCCGTGACCTAACAAAATGATCAAATGAAATCGATAGAAGACATATATACATCATTGTTATGAAATTTTCTTTTTCATTGAATATAGATTTACCTCTCTTATGTTATCAAGACCGTCAAATACACCAAATTTCATAAAATGTTGTTGAGTGGGAGAATAGATTCGTTTTTGCCGCGGCGACTTCTTACAAAATTCACGATAGAGACCATGTGCAATAAATGAAACCCAAAAGATAAGCACAGTAAATCCTACAACTAGAATGTAGCTCTCCAGAGCATTCTTTTGTCTTGTAAAAATTGTTTGACTACAAGATGAATTTAATTGATTTTGAATAGTTTGATTGACGAAATCGATATGCATTTGTGACGTATTCACAATGGATTGCAATGTAACTGAAAGCCCTTGATTATCGGTTGTATTCATGTGTATTGGGAACATGCTCAACGTTTTGCTCTTAGAGAAGCAAGAATTAAAATACAACAGTGAAGCAGGTATGTAATCTAGAACGAGATGAAAAACAAAAGCAACAGCTAAAAGGCATAGTAAGCAGTGAAGAGGTTTTATTGTTTATCTAAATGAAACTACAAATATTTGAGAAAAAGAAAAAGAGTAGCAAAAGACAACAGTAAAAATTTAATATAACGAGAAGAAAAGAACAATGATTAAATATGAAGGTATTCGTTTATGTAATTCGATCAATAACTAATAATGTTTTGAAATCGAGAAGAAAAGAAATGTTTTGACAGTGACTGCTGGATTGTTTTTAAACAAAAACCCCCTAAAGAATAAAAAATTCGTTTCATATGTAATTTTAACCTAATTAATTTATTACATGGAACTCATTGTGTTGTTGTTGTACGGGTTCATTTTGCAGTGGTTTGTTTTTTTCGATATTGTCAGCATTACTATGGACCGTTTTCTTAGCTTTGGTACACATTGCCGAACAAATTGTAATAATTGCGATCATCATTATTAGAATAATATAGAGAGAGAAGATCATCATCAGAAAGCCTGTGCTATTGATCATAAACATTGTCTTGAGTGATGTATTATTACTAGCCGTGCAATTGGAAATATTCTCTGTCAATGTATCATTCATACAAGAGAATTTATTTTTCGAATCCAAAGAGAACAATAGACTGCTATTGCTACATATAGGCGATAGAGAAAATGCACACTTCCATATTTTGTAAAACATTTCCATGATTGAATTGTGTTGTTACGAAGGATTATCGAGTAGGATTAATCTAGTAATCTGAAACAAAAAATTGAATACATTATATAGGAAATCGTCTGATGGTTTGCTTTCTCTGCCCCTCTCTTCAGTCGCTACTTAGAGAAAAACACTATTTTGAGGTTCATATCGATGAAAAAAACTGAAATATTTCTATAAGACCATCAATGGGTCGGGAGTATTGCTCGTCCCATAGCTTGGTTGTTTCAATAAAACGATGAAAATATGAAGCCACTAAAATCCTAATTCTAGAAAAACAATGTGATCAATTTTGATTTTCCTTTGTAAAAAATCATCTAATAGTCATCTCTAAATATTCCCACAAACCATCTATATCTGTGTTATTTCGTTAGTACATTTGTTTCAATCGTTAGAGTCATGAATTTCTTTTATTCTTTTTCATGTCAAATGATTCTACCTGTTGAATTCAAGTGTAAATAAACAACATACAACAAAAAAAAAAAAAACAAAAAGAAAAGTCATCTAGTTAACTAAACGCTAATACAAGAAGATAAGAAGAAAAACAAAATGTAATGATTATTATTGCAATTCAATTCATGAATTTAAAAAAAGAGAACAAACGAAGATAAAGATATAAATGGAAATAAAATGAACTATTCTACGTTTCGTCTACGGATAACTAAGAAAAAATTTAGAGTAAAAGTAATAATGATTCAAAGTAATATATATATATATATATCACTTATCATATTGTGATTTAACAAATGTTGTTGTATCTCTGGATGGAAGAAAGCAAGCTATGGATGGACTTAATAAATTTTCACACCAAATTTTACCTTGATTATAAGGTAAACCATATAAGAGATCAGTTGAACCTGTAAATAAATTGAAACAATTTAATTTCGTTTCTGTATGAGTAATAAATAGAATCTCAATCAGATGTCGAAGCATTGTTGAACATGGAATTGGTAGAACAGCAACAATAGTAGCACGATAAAAATCTAGTGTTGAATAGAACTGATAGTGTTGTGGTTGAAAATTTTCAAAAAATTGACATTGTGCATCTTGTTGGCGTTGTGAAAAAGTATAGCCTGGTGGTGGTTTTGGAACACGAGCAAGATAAACATTTTCAATGTTTGGTAAACCCTGTTTTGTATTGTCATCTGTTATGTTTTTGTATGATAAATCGTCGAAATGTGCATCAGTAACTTGCATCGGAACGAATGACCAATACTCAGGATTATATTCGAGAAATAATTGTAAAGCTTTTGTACAATGTGTAAAATGTTGATAGAGACGCTGTTTATTGGCACGCTGCTTATCGAATTCAATTTCGGTACAAGTACATGGAACTGAAAACGGTTTGCCGTTTAATAAATATTCAATCATAAGACGATTGGCATGTTGTCGATGGTATTCAATGACCTCATTTAATGAATATCGTGTCGAACCAATATAATCGTATTCACCACAGACACATGTGATAACATAAATTATATTATTTGTTTGACAATTGGCTGGACAATTCAAGATGGCTTCATAGCCGTTAATAAAACGATGCTTTTGTCCTGATGTTGAAAATTCAATTGGAGTGCTTCTAGTAGAATCTGAATCGGGTTTAGCTGGACATAAAGTACAAAACAATTGTTGACATGGTTTCATATTTTGGATCAATGAATTTGTTACATCCTCCGTACAAAATAATCCCATTTTCATTGGTAAACTAGCCGTTATTCGAAATGTGCATGTTTTCCAGAAGAAAGTATCCACGTCAAGTTGTAAGAAGAACTCTAATAAAATAATTAATTCATATGGATCTAATCGCCGCAAAAATTTGTCATGTGCTGGCACTTGAAAATGATGATCAAATAGAAAATCTGAACCTTGATATGTGCGATATTTACTAATGAAAACATCAATAAAATGATGAAGTCGATATAAATTATAATCAAGAATGGATGTATCGACATTTAAACGTGTTTTTAAAGGATCGAGTAAATTTTCATAAACAATGTACACATAGGAGTGTATTTCTGTGCTATCTTTTGAATTCCATGGATCTGGATAAACACCTGGAGATCGTCGGGTTAATTCAATGACACATAACTTCTCTGCTGGTACACTAGCTAGAAGTAATGGTGCATTTTTTATCGGTTGATTTGGCTGATTTGGAAACGTCGGTAAAAATTGTCGGCGTTGTTGATTATGTTTATTGAGTGTTTTTGGTTGATATTCAAGTAAATTTTCTTGGTCCAATGTAAGCATTGGTCTACTTAATTTAAAAGGACAATGCCATTTTGATTTCTTGAGTGACATGATTCGATTATGGTTGCTCTTTTGACAATCTGAAAACAAATATTGATGACGAAAGAAGCAATATGATTAACAAGATGATAACTATGATTAATCTAAATAGAAGACATGCGATGATAAGATCCATTCGCGTTGAATTTTAGTTAAAATGATAATTTTTGTTTTTTTCTTTTTTTTGTCTAAAACACAACACAAACAATAATACAATTACAGATTCGAATTGTGACAGAAATTTTTAATCTATGAAATGTACAAAAAAAAACCTATGTTAATTTTGAGTAAACAATACTACTAAACTACTCTACAAAGAAGTTTTACAGTTTTGCTATATGTTGTCTTTGTCGTAGCCTCAATGAATTATGAAGTCATTGGCGATAAAGGTATTATGTTTTCACACCATATTCTATGATAAGGAAAAGCATATAATTCGTGTGTATCTTTTGTAGGGTGGGTGTGGGTGTGGGTGTGG